GCGCCGCCGGGGGGCCCCAGCGCCGATCCGAGAAATCCGCGCGAACCTCCGAGTTTTTATGTTTACGTCACTTTTTGTTCCCTTATCCAAGATGACCAGAAGGGACCCCAAGGCCTCCGAGTGGGCCACAAGAGAGCCCCCGAGCGAGCCCCGAGCGGGCCCCAGGAGACCCCCGAGAGGGCTCCACAGCGGCCTCCACGGGGGCCTCCACAGGGGCCCCCCGAGAGGCCTCCAAGACGCTCCCAGAGCAAGAGACCTGCAAGGGCCCTGGCTTGCCATCGCTCGGACGTCCAATCCCCGTGCATTTTTCGGTTTCGCGCGTGCTTTTTTGGCTCGATGGTCAAGATGCTCCTCGATGGCCCTCGCCGAGATAAAATGCACACGTCCGAACGATGCCAAGCTCGTGGCTGACTCCCGTCGTCGCCGTCGCCGCAGCGGCGGCAGCGGCGAGGCCGACGAGGCCTTAGTGGGCCCTGGAAACGACAGAGCCGTTTTTTTACCGGTTCCGTTCTGCCGTTTTTGTTGCCGGTTCCGACGCCGTTTTTTTACCGGTTCCGTCGCCGATTTTTGACCGGTTCCGGCTCCGGTTCCAATCCTGGAGCCGTTTTTGTTGCCGTTTCCGGTCGCCGTTTTTTTTTGTTTGCCGTTTCCATTATCAAGGGGCATGTTTTGGAAACGGTGAAAAAACGGCCCTGCCGTTTCCAGGGCCCCCCAAGGACGAGGACACCTGGATGCTCATTCTGGGGACCTTCTTGGAGACACTCGCTCCACTCGTGCGTCGAAGCTACGTCGAACGTCCGCCGATCTGAGTCGAACCTGAGTCGAACCTGAGTCAAGCCTGGGCCGAACCTGAGTCGAACCTGACTCGAGCTTCAGTTGAACTGGAGAGTCGAACTGGAGCCGAACAGATGCATTAGGCATGCCCCAGGAAGGTCCCCAAAATTGGAGGCCTGGAAATGAGCACCAGCACCAAGACAGGGGGCTGCCTCCTCAGGGGGGAGATGATCCTAGGTTTCGGTGTTGGTGGTAATAGTTCGGTTACCTTGGAAGCCAGAAAATGACCACCATCACCGAGATCGGGATCTTCTTGCCTCGGTGGAGGCACACCGCCTAAATTGGTGCTGGTGTCGACCTCTAGGCCTGCGACAAAACGAGCATCGAAGGCCACCGTGCCGCCACAGCCGCGACAGCGGGCGGAGCGCGGGCCACTCGCGCCACGGCAGGAAGCCCGCCAGCGCACGCAGCAGGCAGTGCTCCCGCGGCGCTCCGGCGTCGCCGCGCGCCCCGAGGGAAGACAGGGCACCCGCGCCGAGGGTGGCGCGCAGGTCGGCGTCGGGGCCCGGGTTCGGGCCGCAGGGGCGCCTCGGCGGAGGGCCGAGGAGGGGGAGGAGGAGGAGGAGGAGGAGGAGGAGGAGGCGGAGGAGGAGGAGGAGGAGGAGGAGGAGGAACGAGGGGGAGGAGGAGGAGGAGGAGGAGGTGGAGGAGGAGGAGGAGGAGGAGGAGGAGGGGAGGAGAGGCGGACGGAAGAGAAGGAGGAAGAGGAGGAGGAGGATGAGGAGGAGGAGGAGGAGGAGGAAGAGGAGGAGGAGGCGAAGGAGGAGGCGGAGAAAGAGGAGAAGGATAGGGCGGCGAGGTCGGCACACTTTTGAAAGGGGCCCAGGGACGCACAACGAAAGACACACAAATCCCACGAGTCCCCATATAGGTTCCATCTGCTCTGCATGTCCGTCGTCCCCCCCCACACCCCGCCTTCCCATTGTTTCCCACACTGTGCTGGGGATCGACGATTAATTGTGTCTGTGTGTTTTTTCCCCTCCTGAACTTTTGTCGAGTGGGCGAAGAGCGGCATTGAATCAACTGTTCTGCCGTCAGGGTCGCCTGCCCCATGGAGGCTAGAAAGTTGTTACACCGACGTGCCACTGCAGGGGTATAAACTTTCCAGCCGCCCTGGGGCAGGCGTCCCCGACGGCGGAGAAGTTTATGTTATACCGAAATTTGTGCCCCAACAATATTACCAGCGCGAACGAGCCCTTGTGGCACGCCGGGAGGGGGCGGGCGCGTCACCCGACCTCTGGAGTAGACGCACTAAGTAGATGAACGTTAGTCCCAGGAATGCACGTTCGCTTCGGGGCTGTCGATACCATGTTGAAATATGCGGATGGCACCTATGTTGACAGCAGCGAGGTACCAGGCACGCGTGTACTCCGAGGATCTGGTCAGCCGCAACGGTGACCCAGGAGAAGTCTGGGGGGGACGGAGCGGGGAAGGAGGGGGGAAAAGCGGGCGAAGGAGGCGGGCTGGCGCTCCTAACTCCCATGTTCTGTCCATTCTCCGCGCGCAGTCGCGGAAACGCGCGCGGGGAGCAGGAGGAAGAGATGGAGGAGGAGGAGGAGGAGAAGGAGGAGGAGGAGGAGAAAGAGGAGGAGGAGGAGGAGGAGGAGGAGGAGAAAGGAGGGAGGGAGGGAGGGAGGGAGGAGGAGGGAGGAGGAGGGAGGAGGAGGGAGGAGGGGGGAGGAGGGAGGTGCGTATGGGGTTGAAGTACAAGGGCACAGAACCCCTGATCCGTTGGTAGAGAGAAGGAAGGATAGATGGATATCTTTCCCTCCCGCACGACCAAGGTCTGATCGATCTATCTCAGTACCTGAGCCCAAACGGCCAGGCGCAGGAGAGGTAAGGATAAGGAGTATATATGAGGGTATTACACGGGTTCCATTCACGCCCCCCGCCCCGAATCCCGCCCGTGAAGGCAGGACTCGGGAACAGAGGAAGGGAATCCGTAACCTCTAAACTCCTTTAGTCCTTTAAGTCAGGAGGCAGCTGGGCTTAAAATCAGCGAAGCCACAGCTGCAAAGTGAAGTTAGAAGGAACACCCTAAGTCCCCCTTTCTTCTCCAAGCACGCTTTGGCGCCCCCTCGGTGCGCCCCCCAAAACGCTTCGGCACTCGAGGGCGGAGAAGAATGAGACAAGGGTGGGCGGAGAAAGAAGATCTGAGCGTTAAAGCAACATGCAAACTGCCTCGCTTTTGCGAGGCAGGTGTTGCCACCAGCTAGCAGATTATTCTCGACGCAATCAGGTTTAAACTGTTAAAATATGCATGCTAAGATCGCGTTGACGAACACGATCTTGAAATGAAACACATCATTGTGTAAAAGCGAATGTCTGGCCAGACAAAATGTCGCGTTGATGAACACGAAAAATCATGTGTATAAATTATGTTTGGCGACTCCCGCTGGCGTCGCTCCTTAGGAGGCTGCCTCGGTGATCGCAAAAGGTATTTGCGTGTGGCCACTTTTGTTATATAATGAAGTGGCCTAAAATATATATGAAGTGGCCTAATCAAGGCGAACTTTGGTTATCGAAGTTCATGCCTTTGAGCGGTGGACCTTGCGGCCGACTCACTACACGTTGCCGTTCTTGTAGAACCTGCGGTCCCACATCCTCTGGCCGTTGTACGTCACGTAGCTCGTCGCGAATGTCTCCCAAGCCGTTCTCGGGATCCAGTTGCGAAACCAATCGGTGTACGTGATGTCCTGGATGTAAACGTACTCATCGTTGTTGATCGCGATGTAGATCCAACAGTTGATGTAGTAACTCCAGTACCCGAGGCCCCAGTAGCTGTCCTCAAGGTCATCACGCCAGTACGCGGCGTAATCTGATGTACGCGCTCTCTTGGCACGCGGCCCCGCGGGCGTGTAGTCCGTCGCGCCTGAGGCGCTGGACGCAGCAGCATCGCCAGGAGCAGGGCGCGGCGGCGGCCGCGGATGGCGCGGCGGCTCCATGGCATCATCGGACTGGTGGGATTGTGTATCGGGATCGGTTCTCATCCCTGCATCAACCCCCCTCTGGTCGGTATGTGCCGGATCGAGGGAGCCTAACAACTCACTGGCAATCGCGGCAAGCTTACGCTGAGTGAACTGTTCACGGGTTCCGTCCCTTCTAGGGAGAGAAACCGTGACCAGTCCGCGGGCCTGCCGCGTCTGCCTGTCGATGCGCCCCTCGTTCAGCCACCATTTCCTCCGACCAGCCTGTCCTGTCCTAATGCCGACGTCGAGGATGTCCCACGCATCGCGCATGCCCTCCACTGTCCAGGGCTTCTTGCCGACGTTCACGCGGGCACCTGTCATTTGGCGGTGGAACTTGAGGTCGTTGGGCAAGCGTTGTACGGCATTGGCGAATGGGTAATACAGAGGTCGGTCGTCATCGGCTTCGCCCATCAGTCTGCACTCATGTGCAGGAGGGCTACCTGCTTCGACCCACTTCTGATGCCTCTTTTTGGACACATTGGCCAATCTCCGCAACTGATCTTTCTCGTTGCCTGCGTGCGATCGCGCACCCGTCATAATGACGTGCGCACCGTCCTTCATGTATCTCGCGATGTGGTCCTCCGAGAGTGTCGTCTTGATCCAGTTCGTCAGTTTCTGGAGGTACGCGAGATCGCTCTGTGTGGCGGTGCTCTTACCCGTGGCGCCTACGGCCACGGTATACTGCCAACAGATATCACAAAGTGCGCCGTCACCTGTGACAATCCCGAGGGACAGATCTCGACCGCAATTCTGACAGAGCGGTATGGGATGCAAGATCGTCTCGGGGGCCCCTTCCGAAGTGAGGTGATCGCGGGATCCCCGGCGGGTGTCCTGACCGCGAGCGAGGCTCTGACCGATCTGATTGATCGCCTCACGATTGGTCTCGGTGTTCGGTCGGGAAGCGATCGATCTACTTAAACCCTCGATCTCGACCCTAGACAATCTTTCCCCTGGCAGTCCTTTGTACTCTATCTTGGTGTTGTCCGTATCCTCGGTACCGCCATGGCATGCGTTCTCCTCACGAAGACGGCGGGCTTTCTCCTGCAAGGTAGCCTCGTTGTCGCCCTCCTCGCGCTTGAGTCCCGTCTGCTCGGCTATGATACGTACCATAGTTTCCTGATCGGGAGCTGCAGACGCAACGCTGCCTGGATCCTGGGGAATATCCTGCTCAGCGCCTTGCTCACGAGGCGCAGCAGGTGTTTCCACCAGCTCTTCCCATACAGGAAAGTCTGGATTACCGTATGTCTCAGTACAAATTTTGAATAGGTCACGCAATGCCTGAAGTGCCGGATGGTTCTCATGGATGGCTTCTTTGGCGAAATCTGGAAGCTCCGCAATACTATATTTCAAGATGTTCTGGTATACTTTGGAGATCCATTGAACGATGCCTGTGGTCGACTCCTCGATAGTCTCTGGGTCGAGGTAGTGTACCAACTTTTTGAAGAAATGATCTGCACTGCAATTTGGTAAGTCACGTGCCCACTTGTGGGTATGATTGTAGTTCAATTGGTATGACTCCGCATTCCATGCTTTCGATCCAAATCGAATCTCAATTGTAAATGTGACTGAGTCTTGTCCATTACAATTCTGCCTGCGCCACTGTGTATCTCGATGATCTGTTTCATCTTGATCATAGGCGAATCCACCAGCAGCTCCGATGTCCAACAATACACACGGCAGTCATCAGACTGTTTAATCCATCTTGAATCCTCGTCGGGGTCGTAATCTGGATGGTTAAGGAAGTCCGATGGCGGGTCAATGATGTTGTCGAGGATGCTTGCCTCAATCTGCTCATCTGCTTGGATGTCTGCCGAGAGATCTGCTCATGTTGTCGTTCGCAGCTTTCTCATCAGCAGTGAGCGTTATGTTCGATATGTCCACGATTACGGTGATCGAAGGATCACGCGATGATGCTGCAGTCTGTCGAGGATTGTCGCCCGTATGAGCGTTGTCCTCGGCAGGTGTGGCCACCAGCTCGTCTGGATCGGGTGTCCGAAGAGCGGGCCTGCTTGGCGGTGTACGCGGAATACGTGGTCTATGAATGCTCGGCATGCCAAGGTATGGTAAACTGCCGTCCGTCTTGTGCTGGAGTATCTTTTCGCTGCATGATGTCGGACCTTTCAGGACGGTCTCCATGTACGTTGGGTCAATGGCGTTTTCTTCGATACGAATCGGTAATGCAAAGGCAACGCCCTTGAGGGGCATGCTTTTGTCATTATACCATACGTTTACCCATCGTAAACCGTAGTTGAGAATAGGTACTTGTACCGCAAAGAACTTGTCGAAGATGCCGAAATGGATGATTGGACCATATATGTGTCCCTTGGTCAAGGCAATCTTGGTATTGTGATTGCCCTTGGGCCAGTGGTTGTCGCAATGAAAGCATTTGGTAGAACCCCAATTCTTGACGACAATGAAGTCCCCCATTCGAACATCATCAAATGCAGGGC